AGAGAAAACACTACATGATCCTGCTTAGAAACTCTAGGAGAACACATGTTGGGGCTCTGAAAGGTATCCAGCTATGAAGGGACACTATCATAGAAGATCATCTAAGGAGGAAACCAGGCAAGATTCTGACATCTTTCAGCAGCTGTACCTGTGGTCTGTGCAATTTCCCTCTGATCCTGCCAACTGCTGAGATCACCACCACTGGTCTGCCTGTCACTTTCTGCCCATTGCAAATGAAGAAAATATAGGATATGCTGCTTAGTTGACATATTAAATGGAGATCCATGGAACCATGGAACCGGTTGCTGAAACATTTGATTGGTAAACTTTGTCCTCTATTGCAAACACCATGCAAGTACAAAACCAATTGTAAAAAGAGCCCACATTTTCACAGTATGTCAATAGCCTATATAGAATCCAGTAACATTTGTAAGATGTGCACATACACTCAGTTATATCCATCCATCAACCTAGCCGTGTGTGATACAAGAAAAGATCCCATCTGAACTTGGAAGCTCAGCAGGGTCAGCTGTGATTAATACTTGGATGGGAGTCCATCAATGAATACCAAGTGTTATAGGCTATATCAGGGGCAGGCAACCTTTTTGAGACAGGGGCAGGGTTGCTGTCCCTCAGACAATTTGGGGGCCGAAGCACCATAAATAAATAAATAAATAAATAAATAAATATACTTTTTTTAAAAAATTAAAAAATATGCATGCACACTCTCTCAGCCCCAGAAAAGCCATGGCAAAACCCCTGTAGAGATTTTGCCAAGAAAACCCCAAGAACAAATAGTAACAACAATAATCAATATCATCATGGTGGGCAGAGGCGGTGGGGGCCGGTGGCAGCAGCAGCGGCAGAACCAGCCTGGGGCAGGTCCAAAGGCCTCGGGGGGGGCGCATCCAGCCCCCGGGCCTTAGGTTGCCTACCCCTGGACTATATTTTAGAAGAAGGTACTGGTAAAACCACTTCTGAGCATTTCCACCCTAAGAAAACCCTATTAACTTCATGGGGTCGCCGTAAGCTTATAGAGAATTTAAAGGTGCACTCCCCATACATATATACATACACACAAGCTAGCATATGATTAAACACTTCAAATGATTACTTTACTTGGAGACATTAAAATATGGACACCCTGTCAATGAAAACAGCAAGGTTGTTTAAACAACAGAGGTTTAACTGTGAAAGCTGAAGGTATATATTACTCAGCAAAGTATGAATCGATGTAAGGCACAGGAGAATTGTAGTTTGATTAATATATATATTTCTCAACCTTAAACGTATAACCATAAGATCCAAACAATTAGGAATGCAATGCAAGGTGCACAGATATAAGCAAAGGTAATGTAACAGTTAAAGAGAAAAATAAGAAAAACACTGAATCCAAAATTAAACTTCTTTGCAAAATGTTACAGTACTTATTCTACATGAAATATCTGGTAAATGGCATTCCTCAGCTAGGACTAGGAAAACCCTCTAAACTTCATTAAAATCACAGCAAGGAATTGGAACCTAAGTTGGTACTCTTTTTAAAAAATTGTTATAGCCTTAGGAAAAGACATAGGGAATTGACAGGATTAACACCCAAATTAATATAAACACATTAGTATTTCTTCTACCTGCCCAGCTTATGTATTCTATTTCAAGAAAAAAAAGAGAAAATTAAGGGAAGGAACCATGAACCTCTTCATAAACACCCACATATTCACACTCTCACTCAGGTTTGTATTTTTCACTCAAAAGCTGCTCAAGGCAGGGTGAAATGTTAGTAGCTATATGCATACACAGAATATCATTTTCCTGTTTTCAAAATGCAGGTGTTCCATGTATGCACATGTGCACAAACAAACATATGCACCCACACATGCATGAGAGAAAGACATTATTATAATCTACAAAAGTAAAGCACAGAATGGAATAGCACAAAAAGTTTCTACCAGTTACTGAACATACGAACAATACAAAATGGACAAGTTAAAAATAGATCAAAAAAGGTAGCAAAAGAAAGAAATTATACTATTTGCGCCTAATGAAGTAAAACACAATATAGCACAGAACAAGTAAAAACTCACTTTTTAAAAAGAATGGTGGTAGCTGCATAGTTAAAATGGCTAAAACCATGAGAAGTCACAGAGAGCTGTAGAGCAGACATAGTTCTACCTCCCAACAGCAAGTATGCTGCTAGGTTAACTTATGAATAGCTACAAAAACACTATTATTCATAACATTTCAAACCCACCTTGCTTTTTAATTGCTATTCCTTGGAAAATATTAGGCAAATCCCAAATGTCACATGAGAGCTCACTAGGACATGGAGTTTTATACCTGTCAGTATTAAAATACTTTTTAATGAAACTTCCAGAAACTTTTCCTGCAAAGTTTCTCAGCTGCGTTCATGATATGTACAAGCAGAAAATACTGTGTCACAGGAAACTAAAAGATTTTGGGATAAAGAAGAAATCAAGACTATAAACCAAACTACGCTTCTGGCATAGCTCTCCCCCGCCAATATGCAATGAAAGTGTTAAGGTCTGGAGGGTGTACTATATGAGTAATTAAAATGAAACAGTTATCAGATGTTGAGGGGGGGGGAAGTGTCGAAAGAAATAACTTTACTTTCCCCAAATATAGCTTTAGGAATTGAGAAAAGAAATACTACTGCAACAATAGAGATCAAATTCCTGCCTATCTGCTGACCACCTTTTTTGTTTTGTGTTTCCTTTTATTTTAATTATTTTATTATCAAAAACATTTCAGGCATCTAAATTGTAAAAAAAAAATAAAAAATGAACAACTAGATAGCCCTGAAACTAGTGCTAATAACAGATTTGATAATGTAAAGCTGAATGCTAATTCCATTCAGACTAGTGTAGGGAGACGGGGGTAAGAATCTCTGAAAATTGGGTGAAGGCATGCCCTTAAATCTAAATCCAACCCACAGTATGGAGAAAACAGGAATCTACTAAATTTAAACATCAATGGTGCATTATTTTGTTGCTCCTACGATTGTTTTGACTAACAACTTAAAATGTAATATTGTTATCATAATAACCCAAAAGTAGAGATTTGATGGATTTTTTTAAGTACATATTTTTTTAAAATTATATTTTCTGTATAAAAAATTATATTTTCTCTGACTTGTCACTGATGTCTGATATACGTCAAACCCTAACAACAAGAAAAACAACACTGACAACAACAGCAGCAAAATAAAAACACCTAACTAGAAGCTAGGAAAAAAGACTTGGTGCAATGTATGTATATATTTTTGTCTCATCTAAAACACATTCAGTTGTGAACTTCAGAAAGAACCAAATATTATTTCCCATGTTGTATCCAGTTTTGTTGCTTGAAAACTGGCAACATGTTGTTTATCTCACTGTTTTCTGAGACTCACAAATAGGTCTCAGAAAACAGAACATTATCCTTGAATAGTTAGTTATGTAAATCCAAGAAGTATTTTTTCAAAAACAAACAAACAAAAAAAACACCCCAAACAAACAAACCACACATGCACACAACTATGGCCAATTTTAATCTATCAACAAGTTTGCTTTTGCACTCCATCCCTACAGAATGTCTTAGGCCATTTTATTAAGTTATCTCTAAACTCTAATAGCTGTAACTCCCAAGACCAGTTCTCTTAATATTTCCCACTGAACTCACTGGGGAAAAGTTCCAAGAAAAAGCTACCTATTGAGTTAGGAAGATGAATCAACAGTCACCAGTTAGTCTGTTTTGCTTACTTTAGGAGGGATTTTTAAATGAACATTACTTGGAAGAAAATGGATTTAAAAAAAGCCATGAGTTGCAATTATTTAAATTATAGCAGTTTACGCAAAGTTTTATTTTTCACCAACAAAGATTTCACATAGGCATACCGTATAAACTAAAAATAGAAATTAGCTAATCAGTATTGCTAGAATCAATAAGACACATTAAGATATTAAATTGCAATCACCTGAATACAAGCAATTGTCCACAGGAAAATGAGATCAGGTGACAGCAGTGCTCCCGATGTCATACATGTTATTTATCATGATGTTCATTTCATTCTGGTGATAAAAATGCATATCTAACAAGGGTACCTCACCTAACAGTATATTAGAATTTTTCACCTTGATTTAACTTACTTGCACAGTGGAAATCCCTTTTTCAAAAACAGAATCAATTGGTAAATTTAGAGGGATGTGACTTTTCACCTCTGTTCATGATGATGAAGAAGATACTGTATTGACTTTTCACTTATCTAGGTGGCTGACATACATTACTATTTACAAGGCAAAGAAATGAAACTCATCTATGAAAAATGGACACTTGCATGGTGTCAAAAGTTCTGAACATCAATTAATCTGATTAACTCACCACATATAAATTAAACTTACAATTCATTTTAATAATGTAGTCAAAACAGATATATTTAACACAATGTCAAAATGAGTTCTCTAAGAAATTAAGTTTAAAAACACATTATCCATATCTACTATTTTGTCATGCACATTTCCTGAATGGAAGAAGCTGGGCTTGCACAGAATAGATGCTACAAGAAGGAGAAGGAAGATAAAATGCATTTCACTATTTTGTCATACAAAGTTCACTGGATTTATGATGCAATTCTGTGCATGTCTACTCAGATGTAAACCTGAGCAGATTCAATAGGACTTGCTTCCAGGTAAGTGTGCCTAGTATACAGCTGTAACTGATATTTGCCCAGAGGCTGTTAAATATTAGGAACAGTTCTTTCAGATTTTTTTTTTTCATTAGCAAGATTTATTTGCTTCTTAGAGGCTCAAGATGTTTTTTTGCTAGTTATTTTTTTAAAGTCAACTTCTTACTTTTTGAATTATTAAATATAATACTGTTAATTTAAATCTAGTTGTTGTGTGTCTTCAAGTTGTTTTGACCAAATGGTGACACTAAGGTAAGTCTGTCACGGGGGTTTCTGAGGCTGAGAGTATGTGACATGCCCAAGGTCATCCAGTGGTTTTCCATGGCCAAGCAGGGATTTGAACCCTGATCCCTAGAGTCATAATCTAATGCTCAAACCACTACTCCACCCTGGCTCTAGTACTATACATTTAATCAACAGCAAGTATTTCACATAGTGAAAGGTGTCATCATACAAAATCAAATAAACCATACAAAGGTGTAATCATACAGAGTTTAACCGTACAAAGTCCTGATTAAAAAACTAAATAGGAATGTTGCAATTATATTCAGTATGAGAAGAGGATTTTAAATTGTTCCTACCTTTAAAATAGATTTTACTCTTAAGTTTATTCTTGACTATGGCTGTGCACAGGAAAACTATAGTAATGTTTGAATACAACCAACAGCACTACTCATGATAAAAATGAGTCTCTCTGAACACTAACCTAAATTGAGTAAGGGAACGGATGATAAAAGCTGTGTTACAGTTTCCAATTCTTTAAAGAATCAGGCTCAGATAACATTAATATCTGTGGTGGAAGATGATCCATTTTTAAAACTCCCACTAATAGTAACAAGGGAAGTTCTGTTGCTGTTACCACAGTCACTTTTATGGGAAAGTGAGGTCAAACAATAGAGGAGAGTTCAGGAAAAAAAATCTTAAGATAAAACCTACAGGATGTGCCATAATAGTTTTCATATTTAGAAAAATCTGGGACCAATGCTAGTAGTACATTTGATTACCGTACTATTCTTGGTTTAAAACTCAGGAGGGGAAAACACTTTGTTTCCCATCCCTGCCCCAAATCATTTACATTTTCTTTTTCACAATCCCTCACTGGCAAATCCACAAATTTAAACAGTATACTAACATATTACTAAAGCAACAACTGTACTAAAATAAGCTAAGCTTTGAATATAATACAGTTAAGTAGAAAATACAGGAAAGTGAACATATGGATGGTTAATTAATTTCAAGAAATGAACAGGCTCCTTTTTTGGCCTTATTGCTCACATGGCATTCACGTTAATATTTTTAGTTTTGCCTAAGGCTGCAATTTGAACTAACTGAAGTCATAGGAAAAAATCCTACTGAATTCAATGGGGGAAGGATCACTTTCTAAATGACTTTTTGGAAACAGGGTCTATGTTAGTAACGGTCATATTCTCAAAGCCCTGTCCTGGACTGAGCCGCAGGGAAATAAATTAGATTGTCTGCAGAATGGCCATCAAGCCACATGTTCAAAAACTTTATTCACAGACCATACTGCTGCTATCAAGCATAGACAGACTGCTGTTATCATGGGTTTCAGCCAGCACAATACACAACAGTTTAAAAAATGTCCTTGGACCTGGCGGGAGGACCAAAGGAGCCAAAGTTTCAAAACATCTATACTTTGTTATTGTCATAAATGTTATCATTTCTAAAAAGAAGCTTCATTTCTTTATCATCAGACTCTTTGCACAAATTAAATCACAGTCTTCACATTAAAATCATGAACAACCAACAAAAATGGGAACAGCTTAGAAATACAGTATTTTGTTTTTTTTTAAAAAAAAAATATTCTTGTGGGTGATAAAAGGTACTAGGCTGCATCTGCACTGCACAAATAATCCACGGCTGCCATGGCTCAGTGCTATGCAGTCCTGGGATTTGTAGTTTGTTGTGGTACCAGAGCTCTCTGACAGAGACAACTAAATATCTCACAAAACTAAAAATCCCTGAGTATTGAGCCATGGCAATTATAGTGGAGTCAAACTGCATTATTTGTGCAGTGTGGGTCCAGTCACAGTAGCACTAGCATTTAAAAGTGAAGAAGGTACAATAAAACAAACAAGCAGAATGGCTGATTTGGGCAGGTTGTAACAGTGAAGAATGTGTGTATGTGTGCACATGCATGCACACACATGTATATGGTTTCAAGTCACCTGTCAACCTATGGCAACCCCCTGGGGTTTTCTTAGGCAAAGAATACTCAGAGTTGGCTTTGTCAGTTCCTTTCTCTAAAATATAGCCTACAGCACCTGATAATTGTTAGCAATCTCCTATCCAAGTACTAACCAGACCTGAACCTGCTTAACTGCCAATATCAGGCAGGATATGGTGCCTTTAAGGTATTTAGCCCCCCTAATAGTGAAGGTGTTGTTTGTGTTGTGTAATTTCTGACTTATGGCAACCCTAAGGTGACTCTACCACAGGTTTTCTTGGCAAGATTTGGTCAGAGGCGGTTTGTCTTCATCTTCCTCTGAGGCAGAGAGAGGGTGACTTGCCAAAGTCACCTACTAGGTGTCCATGGCTGAGCAGGGATTCAGATCCTGGGTCTCCAGAGTCATAGTCCAATGGTCAAACCATTACACCATGATGGCTCACAAAAGTGAAGCTACTAGTATCAAAAAAGCACCTCCAGCAGGACTTGCATCTGTGGTTTATATATGTTACTCTACAACAGTGACTCCCAATCTGGGCAGTATGCCCCCCCCCCCGCAGGGTGGTGGATGATCCAGAGGGATGGTGAGGGGGAAAGGGGGTGGCAGGGATGCCTTCAATCAAAGTATTGATGAACAAGAAAGACAAGGGGAATCAATGGCCTTTAAGACCATGGTGAGGATGAGGGCTGCATGAAATGGTGTCTCGCGCTCTTCATCTGCCTGCGCTAACTCACTCTCTTAGTCGTGTCTTTCACTAGTAATGGCAGGAAACTCTTGTGAGATTTGGGTGCACGGTATCATTTTTGTGGCTTGGAATGGTAATTTTGGGACTGACTGGAACAAGAAATTAGAGCACGTGGAAGTGTGAGACAAGTGGCGGTAAAAAGTTTTCAAATTTGAGACCCTGCTTAAGCTTTGTGAGCTTTGGCAGGACTTGGCTGGCAGGTTGGTGCTACACTTTCTTTCATCAGACAGGCTGAGAGAAGAGGTAGCAGAAGCAGCAATGTTTGTGTGTGGGGAAGACATGCCCCTGGGGGAGGAGGAGGAGGAATATCCAGTGTTGATTCTTGGAAAGAGTCCTTCACCTTGGAGTAGCTCCTGTAGTTAAAATATCTCTTTCCTTGTCCACGCCAGTTTCCAGTCCAGAGCATGTGGCCTTTGTAAACACACACACACACACACACACACACACACACACCAGCTGAACCTCTTTCTGCTCCGACAAACAAAGATTGAGAATCCCTCCTTGCTGGGGAGAAGCTTCTCCCTTTGCACTCAGTCATCTTGGGAGCAGCAACTGAGCTGACTGAGCAGTGACCAAGAAGCTTCTTGCCCACAACAACCTTTGCCACAAAGCCAGAATGGGAGAAAAGCTTCTTGGTCACTGCTCAGCCAGCTGCTCCATTGATGCTCCCAAGGTGACTGGGTGCAAAAGAATCAGTGACCCCACAGCCAGTGAAGCAACAATTGAGAAGCCTTTCACCAGCACACAAGGCTTTACTGCAAGGTTGGCACAGGTGAGAGGCTTCTCAGTCACTGCTCAGCCAGCTGTTTGGTTGCTTCTCCCAAGATGACCAAGTACAAAGAGAACAGTGATTACGGTAAGATTGGTGGTTTTAAATCTGCAGAAGAACAGTAGACCTAATATCAACAGATAGGCATTGGATGTGCTAGGGTTGTTGCCCAAGAGGAAAGGTGGCAACAGCCCAATAAAGTTTGGGAACCACTGCTCTATAACTATAAAAGGACCTTGCATGCTAATGTTCACTGATCTGCTATATCATAAAAAATACATTCACCCAAGCACCACTGCGATTTTATGTGCAACTGTTCCCCTTTATATTAAGTAGAAATGTCAATTTGTAGGACATGTCTAAATTCAGCCAACTAAAGTAATTCAATCCAGAAACACAATTATGGATTTTAACCCACATACCCCTCAAGATTCTAGTAAATGCACTACTGTTCACTGAGGATTCTTTTTTTAAAAAAGAAAAGAAAGAAATATTCACATTTTATCTTTTTTTTCTGAACAGAGACAACAGAATTTAGTCTACAGCAACAGACAAGCTTGAGAAGGAAATAATCAACAATTATTGGTTGGGTGTATGTTTCCTTTCTTCTTTGAAGGCATATGGAGTTTCAAGCACTACGATTAAATATTTAGAATATTTTGACTGGTTCAGCTGCAAGTGTCAGCCTTCATGTTGCTACTCAAAGCTTACCCTTTTACAAAACTAGCACAAATATTAAGCAACATTTCCATCATATCTGGGGAACTTTAATAGGTTTACCTTTCAAAAGGAAAAAAAAATAGACCACATAAGGAGACATCTGCTCTGAGACATAGGAACATACGGATTACTTCAAAACAGACCATTAAAAACAGACTTCCCAAATTCAGTGTCCTCTAGATGTGCTAGACTATAATTCCTAGTCAAACACATCTAGAGGGCTCCAGGTCTGAAGAGAATGATTAACAATGTAAAGGTCGTGTAAAACTTTACTTAGAGAATTGCCATGAAAGAAGACATACTTTTCACTGCTTAAAAGTGGCAGTTTAATGGTGGATAAGCATGATGATTTCAGGATTGAAAAATATGTAGCAGCAACTCACGTGATAAAACAGGGATGGGTACACTCTGGGACTTAGAGAACCATTTTTGACTACTTCAAGATCCTGAAGATATGCTGCATTGCCATTTTGGGTGATGGGAATGCTGGAATTTGTGAGGGCCGGTGGAGGTCCAGGTGGACACTAAGGACTCCTAAAGGGCTTCATGCAGCCCATGGACCAAAGAATTTCCTTCCCATTGTATAGTAACTGCCCCCACTTCACTGGAGATGGAGGCATGAGGGGTTATACAGAAAACAAAATTAGACCTCCTACAGAATGCTGCATTGTTTTCAGAAATTCTAGAGACCAAAAATGTTTAATCTTAATTATTAGAAATATTATATAATATTTCCTAAACATTGCCAGCTTCTGTAAAAACTAAAAAAAAATTAAAGACTTTCAGGAATAAGCCAGACCTCTCAAACTTTCAGCTACATAATGATTTAACATGATTTTTTTTATTTTTATTTTTTACTGCACACTTCAACTATGTTGCTGAGGCATGAGTTATAAGAAGAAAAAAGAGGGAAGCAACTATTGACCAAAACTGAGCAACTATGAAGTCTGAAATTATAAAATTTAGCCCAA